ATTATAGAATATTCTAATAATACATTTATAGGTATTTCATTTATGTATTGTATTGTATTATATTACAATACAATACAATACAATACAGCATAGTAAAAAATACAAAAAATACAATACATTTAGAGGTCTGACCGCAACCGCCGCATCAGGAAAATAAGGTACATACTACCAATAAAGCTCTCAGCGGTGAACTGGGCGCTAGAGCAAACAGCTGAACATCCAAGCGGGAAGAAAGGTCCACCTTGCGCACATGCCTGCCTGATAATACCGGGCGGTACTGGAAACGGGCGTTGGCAGACACCTCCACATCCATATCGCCGATTCAAGTCATTCATCTCTACCTTACCAACACGATCGCCACAACTCTTCCTGTGTAGCTCAGCGCTGCATCCTCTTCACCCTCCGATGAATTCTGGCATTTCCTTCGCCAGAGCGACACCTAACTCAAGATCTGCCATTTGCCTCGCAGCTTCATGAGAAACGACCTCTTCCCAACCAATGCCTTCGACTGGCGCCCACCACAACCAACCCCGACTGACATTGACCACTCCTCCTTCTTTTTGCAATTGTTATCAAATTGGATCTCGTTAACAACGATATTCAAAGTGACGCCTCTTGCCTAAAACAGCGCGCAATACGGCTCCACTTTACCTTGCAGTCAAATTGCTATCACAGCATCTTTTGCTCGAATTGATCCATCGCCTCCTGTGCACTCCCGGAGTACGAGTCGACACTCTATCTACATCAGGAGGCACAAATTAGCGGTCGACCCGGTTGTTGTGCCCTATACAATAGGCAAATATACCTTGCCAGTCACCAGTCTATCCTCTGCTATCAACAATGCCGACACCGTCACTGAATCAACCTCCGGATCAACCATCATCGGCCTCTCCGTATCCTTTCTCAACCTGTCCCGACGACATTCTCCATACGACACGCCATGGCGTAGATACTCATTCGGGCCCAGCTCTTGATGGACTGTCACCGGATAACTTGGGGTTGGAATCACAAAGAGAAATGCACAGAACAGTGGAAACCGCCACTGACAATCGCATATCAGAGTCTCCATCCTCAAGAGATACTACAGTCTCCCCAGCGCCACAATCTAGTACCACCGCAGTTACATCACCAGAACCTCATGGAATAGATGCCGGGCACACAATGAAGAACCCAGAGTTGGGTCCGGACGGCCCAACTCCACACACGACCAGTGCCAGGCCGAGTCAGTCGCGAGGGCAGCCCCCAAAAGATCTGGGAGAAACAAACTTGGCAATGTTTGAGGAAGAAGACGCCGCGTGCACTCCACCGTCCATGGGATCAGACTACTCCAGCGCTCGGGTACGCGCGAATTGACTAACGCACATGTTTTATTTTCTGCTAACTTCTTTAGGCCATACCGTTTGCACCGTTGTCCTTCTTGCAGCCAGGCAGCAGATTTCATGGAACACAACAGTCAGAACGCCAAGTATATGATGTCCAGGTGGAAATCAAACATGTCGATATGCGCGAGTCCTTTCTCTGCGGATACTTGCGCATCCAAGGTTCGAGATATATACCCTCTTCCATACGCCTTCGCTGGTGCTATTCCAGACTGATATATGCAAAAGTGCTAACCGATTGTTGTGACATAGGTCTCACTGAAGACCACCCAACTTTAACAACTTATTTCGAGGGAGAAATTATCGGATCGAAATACAGCTTCTTCACCCAGCATGAGGACTGGGGGGCGAACATGAAGGTTGATCTTAGCCATTGGGCAAAGTTCAGTGCGTTTCGGCCGTTTCAAAAGCATGCACGCAAAGGTCCGGTGACCATTCCTGATGTAACACAAAGAGAGAACATCTTTATGCGATGGAAGGAACATTTCCTGGTGCCCGATCACCGGGTTCGGACCATTACCGGAGCCAGTTTTGAGGGCTTCTATTATATTTGTTTCAATCAGCTCAAGGGGGAGGTCAGCGGGATTTATTTTCATTCAAAGAGTGAAAAGTAAGTGTAACCGACACATTGTCATTGCCACAGATTGGTTCTAACTACGTTCCAGATTCCAGCAGCTCGAGTTAAAACACGTCCCAAATCGAGGATGCTTCAGCGCTACAGAGTTCCGGTAATGAAAGGATACAGTCAATTTGGACAAGGTTGATACCTTAGCGTTCCTGATAAGGAGCAGAAGGGTAAGGAGTACAGTATTGCAGCTCGAAGTATATAGCGGCATTTTATTCCAGTACGGTCCCTAGCATCAGACGGATTTCTCCGAGCTCGCTGGGTTTAGATGGCACGAAATGCGCACTTCTTTTCATAGTCTACAGGCTTGGTTAAGCATAACATACGCAGGGGTCTTGGATAGCGTACATTGATGAGCGGGTTATTGAGGACAGGGCGTAAGGACAAATATTTAACATTTAGGAACACCAAAGTGGTATGGGAACATGATTTCTATTGTTGCTGTCTTTAAGACTCGAACTTCTTGAAATATCCGCGCCGGAATGGGTTAAGGTCGTCAACAGTTGAGCCCACCGTGCTGACCGTCTTCCGGTTGTGGTATACTGCCACAGCTGCTGCAGAAACTTTTTCGTCCGAAAGTCGACTATATGTTATCAATCGTCTTGACCCTACAGCCGTGATTAGATCCTGGCCTAGGAACACGAAAGCAATCATTGGCTAAGCCAGGTTCATGATTGACTGGCGGCAGTAGGCTAAACTTGCAGGTTAACGAGGTAAGGACTTACACTTGTTGAACTTTTGAACACAAACCACCACCACTTCGAGCGACGGGTGGGTGGGCACGGGTATTTCTTGGTCCTCGTCATTCGCGGTGGGCATCCAGAACGATAACCTACCATTGTCAACCAGCGTAGCTGCTGCAAAGGCGAGGATATCGTCCAGCATCGCCAAGAAACTGTAAGGCTTTTTGGGTGGCACAAAATCAGGCGAACTGGAACGGTCAGCCAAAGTTTTTGTTAGCGGTATTGAGTGCGGAGTCCAAAATGCTCTCTTGTAGGATGAATGACGCGTATAATTGAAGACGTACGAAGCATTTTTTTTGCCCTGTTCAACAAGCCATGGTGTCTTTTCAGGATCCTTGAGCCCGAGAACCCTCAGCCCTTCCCGAACGCCGTATGGCGGGTCACAGACTATCCCATCCCATATCCGTCTATCCCTCTTGATTGGCGAATTCATGAGATCAGCAGCGAAAACGTCACCTAATCGTTGTTTGATATAATACTGCTGAAAGTTGCCCCTCAAGCTCTTGGCCCCCCCTTCGCCACGAATGCTTCTGCCGTCTATATCACTGCCCCATGCCATCGCACCGAAGCAAGCACAAGCGATTGGAAACGACCCCGTGCCAACAAATGGGTCATAGAAAAGCTTTCCAGGCCCTGCCAGGGCAATGTTTGCGGTTATGAGCGACAGTTCCGAATCCATGCTCGTGGTAGATATATAGCCTCGCTTCTTCAGGTCGAATTTAAGAACAGTTTCCCGTGATGACTTTCCAACGAGGCGCCCTAAATAAATATTGGTGGGTTTTTCTATTCCAAGTGGGACGCTATTGAATGGCCATTGTTCGAATACTGTAAATGTTTCGTCTGGTTGCGACATACGAATCGGTCCCTCAAATGGTAGGTAGTCAAATGTGTTGATAATGGATAGTCTCTCGTTATTTGAGTGTGTTCCTTGGTATGAGTCGATGGTGAATTTGAAGGATACAGACTTGTAATCTGCCCATAGTTTGCTAGTTCGTTCCTTCACGGACTGATGTAGGGCATCAAATGTGGCACCTGTCCCCCAGAGTTCATGTACGGACTGAGCAAGAATAGACCTTCGAATCAGTCTTTGAGCGTCTCTAACCGAAGGAAGACGCGCAATGCAGAAGGGGGACTGCTAGATTGTCAATGTGGGAATGAAAGTGAAGATTGGCAACACAAACGTCATCGCTGTACTCCAGGACTTCCAAGTCAACGCTTTCTATCACGGCAAGAGCCTGTATCTCTGCCACGCGGAACGATTCATGGGCTTGTGCGAATTTTATGATGAAATCCATGGTAGGCTTCTGAAATATCAAATCAATCGTCGGCTGTACCCGCTGGGCGTATTGAGAGTAGAAGTCTTGAGACTGCTTATTTGTGGCCGTCAACTTCAATAGTCCTGCTGCCTCAGTGGCAGTGAGCGAGTAGCATAACCACGCAGGGCACGCGAATTTGGATAACCAAATCCGATGATGAATGACCATGAGCGGCCTACTTATGCTATTCTTCCGACTCCTTTTCCGTCGCACGAAGATGTTCTCGGGCCTATGTTGTTGCTTGAGTCCTTTCACTCTAGGGTTGTCGATTTTTTCCCCCCCCAGCCCCCACTCACTGGGGCAGTTCGTGTCGCTAATTGAGATCAAAACAGATTTGGGGCTTTGCTCCCATATGCATTACCACAATCACCACCGCCTGGAAGCAACGAATGCCGAAGAGGGGAAACACCTAGGTTTTCAAGTCAGATACTACAGGAGCCTACAAAGCTTCCTCTTTGCCTCGCACCACATCATTGTCTTGCTGATTTTCAGCAACCAAGGATTACACAAAACCAAGCCTTAGATACCATGCCGGCTATCAGTGGCAACACCAGAGCTACACTCAATGTGGCACATTCTCGCCCCCTCATGTACCAACCTGCCGCTTGTCTTATGACGCATGGCACAGTAGGTCCTGTAAACGACGATCAATCTTCACAGCAAGGTGCTCCATGGGCCTTGATCGAAGACCAAGACTTTATTTCGAAGGTAGGTTTATGATCAAATAGAATCCGAGCGAAACGTCCTTATTTCGCACAATCCTGACCAATTCAACAGGTTGACTTGATTGCATCTGCTGAAATGCATCAGACCATAGAGGAAAGTATCTTGCAGCGTAAGCCGCAGCCCTGTTTCTACCGAACCACCATATCTCTTGGCCAGCTGTTAGACTCGGAACAATTCATCCAGCTTATCCGAAACCGTACGTAGAAGTACCGACTCTGAAAGATGTAACCTGACTGACCGAGACACACAGAAGAGATAACAATGTTTTGTGAGGCAAACTCGACGTCTGCAAGCAGCTATGCTATTAGGAATGGTAAGCGACGAGACATCATGACAATAATGAGTGTATGCTAAATGAGACACCATAGGAATACTTACCATTCATATGGACAAAGAGACGTTTCAAAGAGCTGGAATTCCAGGCAAGCCACTAATTGCCCGAGCTGGAAGCGACGGCCAACCCAAATGGGGTAGGGAACTCTGCGGACATCCAATGCTACATCACAGGTGTACTATGAGGCTAACTAAAATAGGTATTTCAGTTGATTTAAACAGCCGGGCTTCATCTCCTGATGGAAGAATACCTGTCTGCTTGGAGCATGCCTGTTCCACAGTCTTCACTGAACGATTAGTGTGGCTGTTATGCCTCAAAACAGGATCGGGTAAGATCACGCCCAGTTCCGCTACATATTAACCCTAGGCTCTCCTGTCTTTCGAAATCTTCTGCGTAGCAAATCTTGTACTCCATTTATCTGATTGAAACCGAATACGAATGCTGACACGATATATCCCAGCCCTCAATAACAATCTCTGGGAGAATTCCCAGCCACATCAGTACAGCATCGCCTCCAAAGCTTTGCATAAGATCCTTGCCCTGCCTGAAATGCTCCCTACCACTTCATTGACAGCCGCTGAACATGTGGGTCTCGAGGAGCGAGGCATTGACCTATACGAGTGGCTGTCACTGGTGAGGCTGGAGAGTGCGCGAGTTGAGCCGGACGACAAAATAGATCCTTACCTATCAAGATACTGTGTCACGGGTAAAACCTCTAATCGTCTGGATGTTTGTAAAATCACGTGGCAAGGCTTTATTGGAACCAGTTGGTTACGCGACCTAGCCCGTGATGTACTGGCAGTATGCCCCAGGCGGAGTTGGTTATCCATCATCGCGACCAGCTCTTATTGCGTCGAGATGGGCGTCAATGCCGAATCAGTTTTGTTACGACCACCTGGACAGGAGGACCAGTATCTGATGTGGCAGATTAAAAGATGCAAATGAGCAGTTAGTGAGTCTGCTTCGACCTCACATTTCGCTCATCCCCTAGAAATCGATCTGAAATGGTATCCTCCACCAATTTTCGCAAATCAGCCTGTCCAGACGGTGCATTAAAATCATCTCGTTGTGCCAACTCTTCTATGCGGCGACGGAACCCTGTGTCGACGTCAGACGGGACCTGCTCCCCTGCATCCATCGTGCCGACGATGAGTTTCATTCCCTGCGGTGGAGAATGGATGGCTTCTGCAGTGACAGTGTGGGCAATAGCTTCTACTTCCTTTCCCGGCTGGTTGATGTCGAGGCTGGTCAGATACGCTGCAACTGTAGAGAACTCGCCCTCCGATTCAATCCTCTCCCTAGCCGTCATGCCATCGGCTCCTTTATGATGGGCATCAATCCCCAACTCTTCGACCAAAACCTTTGCGGCCTCCAGTGTTTCGACGACGAACAGCGCTGTTTCGTTATCCTCATCCTTCATATTAACATCGACATGAAATTCAAGAACCAAGGCCCGTAGCAAATCCAGATGGTTGTAGCTGGCTGCCGCATGAAGGAGGGAATAACCGTGCTCATCTTGTGCGGCTGCTAGGTCTGGATTTTCACGAAGAAGCGGAAGTAATGAAGGGCTGTTGTCCGCAGCAAGAAGGAACGTATTTGGTGACATGTTGACAGCCTTTGGGTTGTGCGACAAGGGCGAACGTAAGATGCACATCTAAAGATGTCTGAGGGTTGTGGCAAATATTATTCAAAATGAGGTTGACCAAGGGTATTTGAAGACGGGAGCGCAAAAGTTCGGGTTGGATAGGCGGATTATGTCAGACAGGGTTTCTACTCACCCGAGCACACACACCTTGATTTGGCTCTTTGGAACATCCCACAAGAAAACAGGCCCAAAAATTACGTGGTTACTGTATACTCTATTCTCTGAGTGATATTAAAGGGATTGGGCTCGACCGCTAACAGTGTTATTGGTATCTTCACTATTCAGCTCATTTATACTGATTTCGACAACCATCTGGCAGCACAACTCTTCCAGTCACCAGCTGTGTTTTGTGGATTAGACTGCGGAAATGTGATTAATGATTCATGCACACCTGATTTCTCCCCTGCCTGCATCGCTCTTTGCTTCGACAAAAGAGACAGACGATGGCTGAAATGAGCTGCCCAGGGGGCGCGGATTTGCCTGCCTTCATTTGTTGAATCCGCCTGCCCAATATCATGCTGGCAAGCTGTTCGCTTTGCTGTGCGCTGAGCTTTATGTACTCGTACTAGGTAGTTACGGAGTAGTTACTCCGTATACAGACAGGAACCGGGCAGCTTTGGACCCACCCGCTCGAGGGCTTGTCGGCGATGACCCATTCTCAAGACAAGCTCTAGTTACTGGCACGAGTCTGCTCCTGGTGTCAAATGTTTACATGCACGCAATCACTCGTGCCTCGAGCTTTGCGAGGCTGGAAAACGCTAAGGCGGAGCAAAAACGCAGGAGAAATTGAGGCTGTGAGTCATAGAGGTTCCCCGAGTTTCGGCTGTTCCAGGTCGGTCTGCTTCCACGTTCTAAGATATCTCGGGCGAACTAGTTCTTCTTGCCTTCTCACTCCGATAAAAGACCACATCATCTGACACAGAAAGGGCTCCAGTCTCGATTGCACAAGCTCAAGTACTTGCACAATAAAATGTCGTCAGCTGCGCCGTACATACCTCAAGATATCGACGATGTCTCTCGCATGCTCAATGCCCTAGAATTGGCTAGGAAAGAGAAGCGACACGGCGGGTTTGCTATCAAGAAGACTAGTTTCCATGTCAAAGGCTCAACAAACGAGATCAAAATTGATTCATGGAAATTGCAAGACTGGGATTATAAGCGACCGGATCTTCCCACATACGCCCGCGGCCTCTTCACCACTCCCAAAGCACCGCGGCAGCACCCTGAAATAGCCGTCAGAGGCTACGATAAGTTTTTCAACGTCAGTGAAGTGCCGGAGACGAAATGGGAGAACATAATTGCCAATACACTTCCCCCATATGAGCTCACGCTCAAGGAAAATGGGTGCATTATATTTGTATCTGGGCTTGACGATGGTACACTATTGGTCTGCAGCAAACATTCCACAGGTGACCGAGATGATATTCAAGTCAGCCATGCCAGCGCAGGTGAGAGACGCCTAGAAAGACAGCTCTCAGCTATTGGCAGAACCAAAGAAGATCTAGCTAGAGAGCTTCGAAGCCGCAACGTTACCGCAGTCGCCGAACTCTGTGACGATTCATTTGAGGAGCATGTTTTGGCATATAACTCTGACAAGGCTGGCCTGTATCTCCACGGGATCAATCTCAATCTCCCGGAATTCGTTACGTACCCCAGCCCGGCCGTACAGGAATTTGCAGATAACTGGGGATTTATTAAAACGGGCTTTACGGTGATGGGGAACATCCAGGAGGTAAAGACATTTCTGGAGAATGTTGCGCGGACAGGATCGCACGACGGAAGAGAGGTCGAGGGATTCGTTATTCGGTGCAAAATGAGTACTGACCCGGCCACGCGACCCTACCAAGATTGGTTTTTCAAATACAAATTTGAAGAACCATACTTGATGTATCGACAATGGAGAGAATGTACAAAGGCACTTATTGCGGGGAAACCACCCAAGTTCAAGAAGCATCACAATATCACTGAGGAGTACCTGCTGTATGCTCGCAAGCGGTTGGCTGCTGACCCGAACCTTGGGAAGCTATATAACCAGAACCATGGCATAATTGCCCTGCGAGACGATTTCCTCAAATTCAAAAACATCAATGGGCACGACGCAGCATTCTTGGACGACTCAGATCCTATTGTTATGACAGAAGTTACCGGCGACGTTATTCTATGCCCAATTGCCACCATCGGCTGCGGGAAAACCACTATAGCCTTGGCTATGTCGCATCTCTTTGGATGGGGTCACATCCAAAATGATAATATATCTGGCAAGGGCCGCCCTCCTCGATTTACGAAGGCTGTCTTGGATCAACTGAAAGATCATTCCGTTGTCTTTGCTGACCGAAACAATGCAACGAAGATCGAGAGGAAGCAGCTCATAACTGATGTGAAGTTACAGCATACAGGCGCCAAGCTGGTGTGCCTCAACTTTCGGCATGATATTGAGTCTATGGAAAAAATTCGGAGTGTCACACAGGCCCGAGTCCTAGCACGTGGCGACAACCACCAGACAATACGTGCCGCGAGCGATGAAGGAAAGTTCATCGGGGTAATGGATGGTTTCATCAAAAGATTCGAGCCTTGCACACCATATGCTCGTCCAGATGACGGATTTGACGCCGTTATTGACCTGGACCCTGTAGTAGGCAGCCGACGAAACCTAGAGACTGCGGTGAGCCGATTGAAGCAACACTTTCCTAATCTTATCGAAGCAATTCCGTCTACGGACGAATATGATGCAGCAATCCAGACTGCACTTAATTACCAACCTGATATCCATCACCGTAATCCAGCTCGAGCAACGGATAATAATACTAAAAAGAAGCGGAAGCTAGAGTACATGTCTGTGGATGTTGCAAGCGACAAAGTCAACTACGTTATACAAAAGGCTTTCAGCGCTTCCACTTCACAGACCGCCCGGTTCTACATGCAATTGAAACAGACTAGGAGGATACAGAGCGGGTTCCATGTTACGCTAATGCACAGAGCAAGCATGGACGAATATCCCGATCTGTGGCAACGATACATTGCGGCGTGGGAAGCCGCAGGTAGCTCGGAATCACAGTTTGGAGAATGTGACCTGTTGTTGGAAAGGGTACGTTGATTTCGCCTACATCTGCCTAGTTTCGAATCACGAACTCTGTTTGAGCTGATCTATGCCGTTATTAGATTGTGTTCGATGACCGTATAATGGCCGTCGTAGTGCGCTTGTTGGACGACACAGGCAACTGGGAGTGTGTGAACCGAGTTGCCCACATCACAGTGGGTACCAGGGATAACGCAGTCAAGCCGAAGGAGAGCAATGACCTCTTGGCTAAATGGATTGAGGCCGGCGCTGATGGCGAACATATTTCCGAGGTGGTTTTAGAGGAAAAGCCGGTCCTCAAAGGCATCGTGAGGGGAGTGCTCTCGAGGTAGAGTAGCATTATTTCAGTGGGCAAAGTGTTTGAAGAAGAGATCACCAAAGCTGAAACTCTATGACTTCAATACCACACCCCCGCCCAGGGCTTTACTGACGGTGTTGTTTCGCCATTATTTCATGTGATTGATCCCAGCAAACCTTGCCAGTTAGAGCTTATTGTACACAACAGATTGAGTTGTATCGAACAGAGGACAATAATTTATCCAGTTCATGTCAGTTCGCTCCTGCCTGGTACAGTAACTGTTGCCACTAAAAACATTTTGGTAAATCGCACCCCACATTCTTGGGTAAATAGGGTAAATGGCTATCGCAATGACTCGTCAAATATACTAAAAATCTTGAAAGACCAAAACGTATATTCGCTGGCACACTGCTTTCGATCACTCATCATCCAGTATACGACTCGCTATGCGTCCAAAAAATGGCACTTCATATCTGCAATAGTGTTAGCCGGGAGAACAACGGGAGGTTCAATTAGGATAGGATTCAGTTCAATACCTGTCCAGAATCTCAGCATCTCTATAAGCTCTTAGCGATAGTAGAGCAACGAGAGCAACATCGCCTATCAAGAAAACCCCAGTGAGGAACAACGACCACGAGAACAACAGATGGAATACGAGTAATGTGGTGAATAATAAGGCTGATTGCCATGCATGGAACCTGGGTTGCCACTGTTAATAATACCTCTTTTCATGTGTACTGAGATGTCTGATTGTTGTGACAGCTGAAGCTTTACAGAAATAAAGAAAATTTTCGAAGCTTACCGAACATAGTCACTATTGCGCTCCAAGATAAGTAGGGCGATAGCACCAAGAGGGGGAAGTGCCAGATAGGCCAAGCAAGCCTCATAGTCAAGCCGCAGCCCTAGGCTGGTATCGAACTCGCTGATTTCGGCAGCTGGACAAGAGCCAGGCATAGTTGTTGCCGCGCCAGCACTACCTGACCACCCACCTGCCTGGCTTTCAAGATTTGCCCAAGTCCGTTGTGGTTGTGGGTGTTGTAGCGGTGGAGGGCTTCGAGTATTGCCCGGTGAGAAGCGCCGTCTTGATGTACCGTCTTGGGACTGCCGAGGGGACGGTGAATTGAATTCAGGCGAGGCAACACGAGAGTGTTCAGGCGGGGAGGATTGGTACGGAGCGAAATCCATTGTGGAAGTGGTCGAGCGTGGTTACTCACCGGGCCGTCTTGTCGTGATTATCGTTCGATGGTCGAGGAATCTAGGACCGCCTTAGTTCGATTAAATATACCTAGACTACTTCTATAAGAAAAGATTAGATGCCCCATACCTGCAACGAAGCCCGACTGCGGATTGTTCTCTATGCAAGACTTACAAGTGGCGGCGAAGTCACCAGTTTCTCAAGTTTCATCCAAATGCTCAGATGCCATGGGAGCAGAACAAATCAGGGAGGTCGCGTACTGGCAAGTATTTCGTAGCTATCTCCTGAAGAGGCTTTACGAACAGATGGCAGACAGCACTATGTAGTGGTTTATTATGCCAGAGACAGTCGATTGCAGCTATGCAGTGGGGCATAATACGTACTTACTTACCTACGCGCGTGGCTCTTATTTCTAGTAATAATATAACTATTATAAGATAAGTCTTAAATTATTATTATTTATTGAAAGTTTAATATATTAAGTAAAATTTTACTTAATTATTCTAGTTTAATTAACAATTAAAGAATAATTATTTAAAAACCCCTTAACGCGTTAAGGTACCTAGGCACTTAGTAGGTACCATGTAGGGACAGACACCAAGCCTGGTCAAGTGTGGACTCCATAGCTCCATAGCGGGCCTGTCATATTGCTTCCAGATGTCACAACTCATGCGCTTCCTTAAAATGCTTCCAACGTACGGAGTAATAGCTGCACTATTGGTACTAAGCATTTTGGGCAAGCAAAGCCTTGGTATTTGGTGCGATAGTAGTGCTACAGGTGTCATCGGTCATGTTTGATAATAGATCAAGGTAGCATATTCGTGCATAGGTCAAACGTGAATGATAATAGTACAACCGACATCTATAGCACCTGTCATTATAATACATGTTAGGCCTGCTATTTACCTAGTAGGTATTTAGCGAGGGCTGGCGTCAGAAGAGGGCTTTCACAATTGCGATTTCTCGTCACCACAATCCAGCTGTAGCCTCCTACCCTCCAGAGAAAGCCATATACTTCGGCTGCCGCCCTCGAGGGCTCCCGCAATACCCAGGCCAGCTCCTTGCAAGGTGTTGATAAGCTGTGCTCGTAAGCCGTCCATTCCACCCTTAATGCCGCCCACCCAATTCACCCCAGCCTGATCAAAAATCTGGCCTTCAATGCGACCACCCAATAACAAAAGTTTGGCAAGGCCATTCTGGCAGATAGGATCGTGGTAACCGGGGCTCTTTTTTCTAGTCGGTGCGGGGAATACCCCAGGCACAGGTGATAGGATAGTTAAAGCAACTGCAAGATGTGCCGGCGAAACTGCTGGCAAAACAAGTGCCGCAATAGGACCAACCATTAGTGGCTGGAGTTGTGCAAAGGCAGAGTCAACTGGAACAGTGGCTTCACGAATTGCCTCGTAGGCTATTTTCGAGAGGTCATGTGCTGGTTGTCCCTGGCTTGCCACTTGCGCAGAGAGTGATGTTTTGGAAACATGTGGGCTGTGAAACTCGACAATCCTCAATGCAACACTAAACATGTTTGTTCGCACAACCTGTAGCTGCATTCGTGAAGACAGATCCGCACAGTCCAAGCCGGAAGGCTGGTTGGGCTTCGGTACCGCGTCAATGGCTTTCTTCAGCTCTCTCCTGACAGCCGCCCATTCAATGGCTGTCAAATTACTGTGCTGGAAGAACAGCATCAATGGCGTCGTCCGCAGTAAAGAGGTATAGGTTCGGATCAACTGGCTCTTTCTTGTATCGATCGGCCTTGCACTAGCAGGTTTTGTCACTGGAGCATAATCATAGTCACCGGAACGGAATTTCGCCGTATCAATCGCCGCTTGACTTGCTGTTGCAAATGAGATCGTTGAAGAGAAAGATTTGAACCGTTCAACTTGTTGACTAGGAGCCCTATGTTTCGACAATAGGAGTCGCAGGCATGGCCCTGTTGCTTTGTCCAGTCCATGAACCATCCTGTAAATATTAGCATAAGTCAAATAGCGAGCTTGGCATTTCCGGCGCGCATACTTACTTTTCGGACAGTAGCGAGTTTCCTGGTACATCCGTGTTCAACAGCCTTGAGCTTTGGAAATACATCTGGAGGCAAATATTCAGTGGGGCCGGATAAACTTTTGGCCCCTGCCCCTTCCAAGTGCTCTCAGAAACGTTGCCTGCTGACTAACACAAGTGCTCCTAGAGCATATAGAGAGAAGTTGCCAACGATTGCGCGCCACTGTCTGCCTAGGATTGTCGAGCATCCATCACCCCCTCTGACTCTCCTGCAGCTTGGCCCAGCTCTTGCAACATCTCGTCGCCCTGATCCAGTACCAAGTCCGAGCTGCGACAGCCTTTTCATTTTTGCTCCGTAGACCTGCCGAAACAAATCTATTAACCAATTAGAATATCGGAGCTACTTTTAGTGAGACTGCACTTATTCACGGCGTCCACGATGTCCACTCTCGAGGAGCTCGATGATCTCGATCGTAGAGACAAAGATGAAAAGAAAAGAAATGGAGGTCCCAACCAAGGCAAGGAGGGAGGACCAGATGGAGACGAGGAAATGAAAGAGGTAGATGACGATATCTTGGACGACGAGGTACTTGGCCTCAGCACACAAGATATTTTGACGCGGAAGCGACTACTGGAAAACGATTCTAGAATTATGAAGAGCGAGCTTTCCCGGCTGTCACATGAAAAAGCAGCAATGGGGGAGAAAATCAAGGACAATGTGGATAAGATTGCGAACAACAGGTATGCATGACACAAGGGCTGCAAAATGTCAACACTATCAACCTCTTGCTAACTAGTTCCCAGACAGCTTCCGTATCTTGTAGGCAACGTTGTGGAGTTGCTAGACCTCGATCCTACGGCTGAATCGTCAGAAGAGGGTGCGAATATTGACCTGGATGCAACAAGAGTAGGCAAGTCAGCTGTTATCAAGACGTCTACTCGCCAAACCATTTTTCTGCCACTCATTGGGCTGGTGGATTCTGACCAGCTGAAACCTGGGGACCTCATAGGAGTCAATAAGGACTCGTACCTTATTCTCGACACACTACCTGCCGAGTATGATAGCAGGGTGAAAGCGATGGAAGTAGATGAAAAGCCTACAGAGCAGTATACAGATGTCGGTGGTCTCGACAAGCAGATTGAGGAGTTGGTTGAGGCGATTGTATGGCCGATGAAGGAAGCCGACAGATTCAAAAAAATTGGTATCAAAGCCCCTAAAGGTGAGAAACCCACCAGCTACTTCTTTAAATCTGCCGGCAGCTTCCCTCGCTTCGATTTCGAGATCTTGTGACGGCTGTATCTACATGTCCAGCAACAGTTCCACTGATTTTTTTTTTTTCAGGTGCTTTGATGTACGGCCCTCCCGGCACTGGAAAGACACTGTTAGCAAGAGCTTGTGCGGCGCAAACAGATGCTACATTTTTAAAACTGGCGGGACCACAGCTCGTCCAGATGTTCATCGGCGATGGAGCCAAGCTGGTTCGGGATTGCTTTGCCTTGGCAAAGGAGAAGGCGCCAGCTATCATATTCATCGATGAACTTGATGCTGTCGGCACGAAGAGATTTGACAGCGAGAAGAGCGGCGACCGTGAAGTCCAAAGAACTATGCTGGAGCTTTTGAACCAGTTGGATGGCTTCGCATCGGACGACCGCATCAAAGTTCTAGCCGCGACAAACCGTGTTGATGTGCTCGATCCAGCTTTGCTTAGGTCGGGACGACTCGATCGTAAAATCGAGTTCCCACTACCTAATGAAGAGGCCAGAGCTCAAATTCTCAAAATTCATTCCCGAAAGATGAAAATAGACCCTGGTGTCAACTGGGGTGAGCTTGCAAGGAGTACCGATGAGTTCGGCGGAGCAATGCTTAAAGCTGTTTGTGTTGAGGCGGGCATGATAGCCCTGCGGTCAGGAAAAAACAAAATTGGCCATGAGCATTACGTTGATGCAATTGCTGAAGTACAAGCCAAGAAAAAAGACGTGAGTCCCGATCCGAAATCGCCATCACCATCATTAAGAGACACGTGGCTAATTATCACGGGTAGACCGTCAACTTCTACGCCTAAGCGTGGCACCACTCGCCCACACCAGGGAATGGCACGTCGGTCTCTCAGAAACCACGCCAAGATCATAAGATGGATGCCATGATATAACTAAGTAGACGGTGAGGGCGGATGTGTGTTGTTGGGTCTCTTGTATCACTAGTACTACTGCGACTGCCCGATGGCAGCGCAACCAAAAGATTATACATAGAAAATATTCCCATGTATGGACGCTACAACATGAACTGTGTATCTGTTCTGTTGGACTTGTGTCCATCGGAAGACCGACTGTATACTTCTTGGGCGCACACAACCCATTTTTGAAAGCACTTTAGATTACGTAGTAAGTAGTAGATGAATTTCCTGTGCGATTCCTTCCCATGAAGCATAGATTGGACCGGAGAGCCCGCTCTAAGCGCCAACCTTCCAACTCACGTCTCAGATGATCTCAATATGCATTCGGAGTACTGGGGATGCCACCGCAAATGTGTTGGCCGCCACGCCTTTGGCTGGAAGGATCGGGTGGAGCTCAAAGTCTACTACGTCACTGTGGCGGGAGCTTGACCCAGTTGATTGACAGGCCAATTTACCAGCTTCGGGCGACAAAGTCGACATAATTCTGCGCGTTGTTCAACTCACGCAGAGAGGAAAGGGAAAATAAATTGCCTTCATTTTGAAGGTCGTCGTGGTAATTCTAGGTTCAGCGTGAGCTCCTGTCATCGCCTGTTGAACCGTTGACGTAGTCGCGATTTTAATCGGCAGATTTTGTCTGTCACTTGCTACTGTTAATGGCACAGATTAGATTGTGCATTCGGCATGTAGATCAGAAGCCAAGAGTAGTGACGTGATGAATACGCCAGCCTTGCTCATCAATGGCTTTTGGCTCTAGCTTGTTACACCCACTGGAACACCCCACGTCGTCATTCAGTGCGCAAGGGCAGTGGAACTACGCTTTCTTGCTGTAGGTGTTGCGTCTGTTCCTTCCCCCTCATATGAGCCGCTAGCTGGCAGTAGCTTTATAACCCTGCCACGGCCCGGTTCAACACTGCCATCTGCGCCTATACACCGAAACGATCTGCTTCTTCCGAATTACTACGAGACGAACGGCTAGCAACTCTATTTCAATCCCATTTCTACACGACACAAAGTTGGTATAATGAGGTTTCTCAGGGTTCTCCTCACGAGTGGCTTGGCCATGTCTGGAGCCGCTGCAAGCAGCTGGTTTCCAGGTTCCAAGGCAGGTATGTTTGCTTGCGCCTATGTACTCCGAATGAACTGGGCCCTCCTAGTGTACCATATACCAGCCATATACCAGCCCATGCTTCTACGCAGAATCTAAAGGACTGATCTCTTGCCTTGGTGCTTATAGTATATAATAAATGGCATCAGACCGAGCTCGAGCGTTGGCTGTCTGACAATGATATTCCCTATCCAAAAGCATCAGACCGAAAAGATTTGGAGACACTGGTTCAACAACACTGGAATAATATCATTGTGCAACCATATCAGAGTTGGGATACTGCCCAACTAATCACCTATCTACGCGAAAGGGGACAAGACTTTCAGACGGCCACTGAGGAATCCAAGGACAGCTTAATTTCGCAAGTCAAATCACACTGGTACGAATCCGAGGAGGCCGCGCGACAGTCGTGGACCAATACCAAGGAATGGATTTTAGATACTTGGTCAGAAAGTCAACTGAAAGCGTTCTGCGATGAGCACGGAATTCCAGGTAAGGACGCCATATAGGTTTTCAGCCCATCGCTCACCTGTCTTCGTAACGTCCTGGGCTATATTTCTTTCACTAACGCATGTGTGATGACTGTAAAGTGCCGCAGCCGCGACACAGGGATACTCTTCTGCAAAAGGCTAGGCTTGGGTACGAGGCAATGGCCAAGAAGATGGGCGAAACCGCCGCGTACCCTGGTGACTGGCTCTTCCAAACCTGGAGTGAGTCCGACCTCAAGGCATGGCTTGATAAGTACGGTATTCCAGCTCCGCAGCCTTCGACTCGCGACAAACTTGTCGCTGCCGTCCGCCGAAATTCTAGGTTGGCATACTTGAAAGCCCAGCAGGCGGCCGCAATGGCGAGGGCAAGTGCACGAGCAGCTTACGCCAACCTGACAGACATGATAATTGATACTTGGGGTGAATCTCAACTAAAGGAATTTTGTGACAAGAACAACATCCGTGTTCCGCAAGGCACAAAAGAGAACGAGCTCCGTGCCCTGGTTCGCAAACACCGAGCTGATATTCTAGGGGACAACGTGCAAGCCAAGGCGAGTTCCGGGTTCGGGGCTGCCACTTCCAACGCGCGAAACGAGTACGCCCGAGCCACTGACAGTGCCTCCCTTGCAGCTGAAGACGCGTTTAACCAAGCCACATCGAAGTGGTCGGGGAGCCGTCTGAAGGCGTACTTGGATGCCCGTGGGGTTCCCGTGCCTCAGAATTCCGATGTAGACCATTTACGAGCCCTTGTTCGAAAGCATTCCCACAAAGCGGCTTCGGGTTGGCAGGCGTGGTCATTCGACGACTTCAGTTACTCAAACCTAAAGGAATATCTAACGAAGACTGGTGACTCTATCGCCAAACAGGCTGCTAAAAAGAAAGATGCTTCCCGAGAGGATCTTGTGAGCGCTGCGGCCTCTGCCTATTCATCAGCCTCTTCAGCCGGCGGAAGCCAGTTTGCGTCAGTTACCAGCTATCTCTCGTCGGCTACGGCGTCTGTTCAGAGGACGGCCTTTGACTCTTGGACTCGCTCAGAGCTGAAGGCATATCTAGACAACTATGGCATCCCGGTGCCACAAGGTTCTAAGCTGGAAGAGCTTAGAGCATTGGCTCGTCGACAGTCAACGTATTTCAAGTTTGGTACATCGTCGCCGTCCGGTACTGTGTTGGCAAAGATAGGAAATGCCGCAGCACAAGGGTGGAAATGGACACTGGACCAGCTTAGACTTGGGAGCGAATCAGCACAGGAAAAGGTAAAGGACACGAAAGAAGAATTGTGAAAAGCCATCGGTTCGGTGGTCGAAATGACAGTTTGGACTTTGGGGACTTGGGGACTTGGGGACTTTGGGGGTTTTCACCCGGGACGGACTGTGCAAGAAGATTGATTGATCGATGACTGGTTCAGGTTTTGTTGAAGCACAGTGCCATAGCTCTGATGTATGTCGGCTTATTGTTATTCTGACGCAAATTCTACGTCCCAAATTCGAAGAAAAAAAAAGCTCTTTATTACAGCGTGGATAACATCGCAATTCGACAGAAAGTGACCCGTCTCGAGATGAAAGCGTCATGTTGATTAGATAGTCAACTTCCCAGTACGCTGTTACCCCTTTCCTATCACTCCGATGGTCGTACGTTGCTAACGAAATTCTTAATCCAATCACGTCCATAATCTACAGGTGCCATCTGCTCCGGCGCTGAGGCACCACGGATGCCGTGGGTGCCAGTCAACATCCATTACGCCCAGCTTGCTGACGACTGCGTGACCCTTCAGCATTTTTACCGGAACAATGGTCGCGTTTTCCATCAGATCGCTGACCACCTTACCGTGGAAAATCTGAAGAGTCCCGTCATCACTAGCGTCTGCAAACAGCGGCAGGTTCCTGTGATACTTTACCGCACGAATTGCTTCACTGTGAAACCTCATAGTTTTGTATGGCCGGCTCGAGAGATCCAAATCATGCCACAGCAGCCTGCGGTCATACGAACCCACAATGAGGTTATCGCCGCCAGAATGTATGTCAAATGAAGATATCCACCGGGCTCCAGGTTGTACAATTTTCACAAGTTCCTGCTTCTGAAGGTCATAGCACCGGATCATCCTCTGAGTCGCCACAAAAAATAAGGGCCGCGAGGGATGGAACTGAGCAGCTTGCGCAAGCCCAGGCAGTCGACGAAAGGGAATCTGGCTCAAATGTCGTGAGAGGGTGTGGATAGCCACGGAGCTTCTTTGTCCGGTTGGGGAGACGGAACAGAGAAAGTCGCCACGCCTATGCCAGTTCAGCGTTTTTATTGCTGCTCTGACAGTAGCCTTGAGCAAGACACCCGCGTCTTCAAATTTAGACCCGGGCCTTGACCATTTTGCAGAAGACTCCTTGGCCCCGCCGTCGACTCCGGAACCAGGTTTGGAGGGTGCCGCGTACCCAAAACCTGCATCAAGAACCGCCCGACTCGCCTGCTCCATGGCATCGCTGCAGACAGGGGGCACGACAAAAAACAAGCTCTCCCCTGCTGCAGCGGCGAGAATGAAAGTCTCTCTGTTTGGACGCCACCGAATACAATCGACCGCATCCTCAGAACTCAGTTTCGCCATCCACTCTTGGTGGCCATTAATAGCCCAGAGACGCACAGTGCCGTCATCACCACCCGATGCAAGCCATTCCCCATCCGGACTAAAGGCCACCGACCGCACACGACCTTCGTGACCATTGAAGATAGTTTGGCACATTGTCGGAAAAGGTTTAAGCTCCTCTGGTCGGGGGAGTTTGGGGAGTAATGAATTGGGGTCGATATTCAACCTGTTCTTGCGAACTCTTGGCGCCAGATAAAGGTCTAGACACCGTTCAAACCGCTCCTTGACTAACTCGGCATAACCAGGAACTTTTCGCAAGGATTCGAATCTTGCGGGGAGGTACTCCTTTTCTCTTTCCTCGGGATCTGCGTCTTCCCAAGCTTTTCTCTCCTCTGCCGTGGGCAAATATTCCTGTGGTGGATTGTAGCTTAAATCATATCCAGGTGGGGAGAGCTTCGGTGCAGGTATGTTCATAATGTGGTGGTCTCTGGGCTCCTCGTTGGCCCAAATATCGTAAAACGACCCTTCTTCCTCCCTTTCTCCTTCTTCCGCTTTGGCCTCTGACGGCTTATAGGGGAGAATTCGACCGTCTTTGATAGCTCGGACAAGCTGAGCAACTCGCTTAGCTTCATGCTTGGAAGGGATGAATCTTCTTTTGGGTTCCGGAGTCGCACTGATGGGCATTTGCTCTTCGATGCTAGTGAAATACGGAATCATGTCCTGCATCCCCTTGTCAGTCTTTGGAGCACGGTGTGCTTGGAGCATAGAAACTTACTGGGTAAGGATCATAGCCTTCTTCTGGAACCTCGCCCAGCTGCAGCCGACGCAGGAGTTCCAATTCATCCTGGCTTAGATTCAACGGCTTGCCCGTCTCAGGATCCGTCAAGCCAGTCCAACCCTTCGGAAGTTCTATACTGTCTAACAAAGCGTCGAGAGCCTCGCCAGTGGCAGGACGCATAATCTTCTTCCCATTGATGTCATATCCAATGTGTGGATACGAGTCGTAGAAGGACAATGGAATGTTGCCGATAGTGTTCGCTAGGCCTTGAGCGTCCGTATCATCGCTATCGTAGACGGGGTCGACTTCGTCATATTCGTAGCGCTCCCCGCCGTTAGCATCGGTCACAACACGGTAAGAAGGTCCCTCTCCGCCACCTTTCGCCCCAGAGTCGAGCGTAGCGTTAACTGTTTTGGGCTCGTTGTCGACGGAGTTGCTGTCGAGATCACTCTGACTTTCATCCGGATCTGAGTCGAAGTCTTCAAACTCGGTACTTTCGTCCTCTGACTCGTTCTCGCTCTGCGACAAGACTCCGTCCAGCGTACATCCATCAAACTCAAGGTCGGACGTGTCATCGGGCATGTCGAGGCCTTTCCTCTTGCGGATTCCACGAAGAGAAGCCATTGAATACTGCAGATATGTTCTTAGAACCAGGCGACTTTATGATCCAACCAATGCAATGAATTATGTGAAGCAAGACAGAGTTGTGTTGTCCCCTCTCGGGACCTCTTTGGTGTGTATGTTTTTTTTTTTTTTTTTCGATTGATGGAGCCGTCCTCAGCGACGTCTCTCTCTCCCTCTCTTTTTTTTTTCTTTTTGGTCTCCTTTAGGCTAGCGCGTTTCTAACTTATCTTATCAGCACGGCTGTCGGGAAAGTTCTGCATCAGGTGTGAGTGGGGGGCCTAAACCGAACGAGAAGTTCCAGGAAATTTTGTTAAGGGCATTGCATAATGGCCCTTGGTGCCCGCTCGGATAAGCGAATACGCAATACGCAACGAAAACCTCCACATACTAAGTAAGGCTCCTGTTTAAACATATAAATTAACGTGACATTGAATCTATCTGAGCCTGATCAGGGCTTGGAAACTTTGATTTCTTTGCCTGGAAATCATTTATGCCAAACAATGCTTCATGGGACACTCTCTTGCAAAGCACCCAGTGCTCATTGTTATTTGTTAACCGCGGCGACTGTTGTTCTTTGGTCAGATTAACACTTTTGATCAGATGGGAATCACCTACAAACTCGCGCTTCCCATGACACATAGTACGGGTCCTTTTTGCTCCATGAACCAGTTGACCTGGATCCTTTCTTGAAGACGCTGGGTATGGGGTTAGCTTTGCTAGTATCTAGATGGTACGAGAATTAGTGGCCAGCTCTTTATGTGTTCAAAATTTAGGCAGGGTATGCTCTTTCTTTATTTACCTTGAGACTGGGAGACGTCGACAAGTGTAGTCTCAGATGACACGGCACGAAGAGCCACTTGGGAAGCCTGGGTCTTGTCCTGGGTCTTGTTTGCAGGCATAATGTTTATTGCAGGATGGTTGAAAGCCGTGTTCACGATACTGTTGGTGTTCCTTGACGGCCGAATTGACGAGAAATTCTACGAGCAATTATATATATATCTATGAAGCCGAGCTCAGGTACGCGTAGTTGATGACAACTTCGGCTTAATTGTCAATCAGTTCCCGTTTGACTCATCTTCACCAGGCTACCTATTGAAGAACAGTTATGTTAGTTCGTGGGATGTCACAAGAGTTCACCATGTCGCGGCCCACTTGATCACGCCCTTTGCGGCAGCCCCAACGGCTTATTGGTGGTGGGCTTCATCTCGAGCACCGATGTGCTGTCAGAGGCCGACGCCGAAGCCGAAGTTCAAGCCGAGACCTGGATAAGCAGAGATCTCACTGAGTAACATGAGCATGCTTGAAAAAAAAAGGCATACGTACGCATATTAGACTAATTTTTTGTACTCATCGCTTTTTTTTTTTTTTTTTTTTTTTTTTTTTTTTTTTTTTTTTTTTTTTTTTTTTTTTTTTTTTTTTTTTTTTTTTCTAATGCATCGGTTGGGGCCCGGTCACGTATTAAGTACTAAAAGATGAATGTCACCGTATCCATATATCTAAAGTATGCTGTATTATTACCTGGAAAAAATTCATTATGGATTTTTTTTCCAGCGGGGTTATGGCGGGGGGTTTGGATTTTTTTATCTCTTCTTCTGCTGTCAGAGGCCGACGCCGAAGCCGAAGTTCAAGCCGAGACCTGGATAAGCAGAGATCTCACTGAGTAACATGAGCATGCTTGAAAAAAAAAGGCATACGTACGCATATTAGACTAATTTTTTGTACTCATCGCTTTTTTTTTTTTTTTTTTTTTTTTTTTTTTTTTTTTTTTTCCCACCGCTTTTTTTTTTTTTTTTTTTTTTTCTAATGCATCGGTTGGGGCCCGGTCACGTATTAAGTACTAAAAGATGAATGTCACCGTATCCATATATCTAAAGTATGCTGTATTATTACCTGGAAAAAATTCATTATGGATTTTTTTTCCAGCGGGGTTATGGCGGGGTTTTAGCATTTTTTCATCTATTATTATTTTTTTTTAGAGGGGGGTTGTGGGGATGAAGCCCTGTGATATTTATTATTTAATTAATTTCTTGCCCGCTATTTTTTTATCGTATACTGCGGCTAACACTAGGAAGGTGATTTTTTTCAGGAAAATCATAGCTGATAATAATAAAAAAAAACCATCCGCGATGAGAATGAACTGATAAACTGTCGTTAAAAAAATTTCACGGCTCCCTGGTACGACCAGTTACTATTAAAAAAATGAAGTACCAAAATTAATTAGAAGAGAGAGAGGCTGAGACTTTTAAGGACCCACAAAATGGGAAAAGCAGACGTCACATGGTGGTGAGCATTATATACATCTGCAGCCCATCTGGTTCAGTTGGCTTAGAGCCCGTTATTCGCAACGATGGCGTCTTCTGTGATGAGCTTCTTCAAAGATTGGAGTGTGCCATATCCGGATGCAGGACATGGCTTCTGGGGCGAGCAAACGTCAACACTGAACTTCTGTGAAGAAGTATGTGTTCCTAAGAGGCAGTCTCTCGATATGCAATCCTAACATTTCAAGGATTACGTCTTGTCCTTCTATTGTGCTGAGCTTTGCAATGTGAGTACCAAGAAGACATGACATGACTTCATCAGCTAGCTACATACTATGTGCTTGAGCTAACTGAATCTTCGCCTTGGACCATAACCAATGGACTGTTTCTCTGGCTTGGGGCCGTAGGTGTCCGCAATTGCTACCGAGAATCACACCCGACCATCTTCCTCATAGCATACCTGGGATATATTGTTGTTGGCCTTGGCTCAGTATCGTTCCATACCACTCTAAAATGTATTAAGGGTCGCTCTTCTCCTACACCGCGCGGGCAATGATGAGCAAAGCTAATGAGTTGGATGCACACATAGATCCGGTGCAACTCGTGGATGAGCTTGGTATGATATACACAACTTGTTTGATGATTTATGCGAGTTTCGCAGTCTCAAGATCCCGGGTTTTTGCTGTCAAGTTGGGGGTTGGCCTGACAGCATTGTCTGTGTTCATCACGGTGAGCTTTGCTTGTTTTCCGGAACGACGGAAGATGTCCTACTGATGATGTTCCTAGTTGTATTATCATGCTACAAAAGATCCGGCGTTTCATCAAGCTGCCTATGCGGTTCTGACCGCTACTGTTTTGATTCGCAGCATATGGATTATGGAAATACAAGTGCGGCCCGCGTTGCAAGCAGAAGATGTCGCCAGAGCTCGGTATATACTCAAAACCATGTGGGCATTGGTCGCTACTGGTGAGATACGCGGCTTTCGAGGGTAATAGAAATGTATAATTTTGCTAAGCGCAGATCCTACACCAGGCCTCACTGTGTTCCTCGCTGGCTATGCTATTTGGAACCTGGATAACATATTCTGCTCGCAACTACGCGGGTGGCGACGTCAAATCGGGTTGCCATGGGCCATTCTCCTAGAAGGTCATGGCTGGTGGCACTTGATGACAGGCCTAGGTATGGTTACCAGGTGCTTTGGCTTCTCATACAGATATGATGTGGAAAAAGCAGGCTAATAATCAGTGTGTAGGAGGTAATACGAGTCACATGCAAACCTACCCTTTCCAGATATCGTAACACTTGGAGGATACCTCACTAACACGGGAGTGTCATTTTCTCTCTAGCCTATTACTATATTGTTTGGGGCATTTGGCTGCGTCATTGCCTCTTGGGACAAAGCCAGGGGTACACTCTACATTGGCCAAGGCTCCTCGCATCAATCCCGGAGATACGAAAGGTTCAGGGCAAGGCAAAGCACCATTGATGGATGGTATATGGCTTCCGGTTTCCAGCCTTACGGGTTCTCCCATTAAACAGCCAGGTAGGGAGTTGTGTAGTTGGGATGCTTTTACCAAGCATGCAGGGGTTTGACAACCAGCCGACACGCGCAACCACACACCTTGGCTCAGATGAAAATGGGTTCTATATGTGAAGATATCCATCTTAAAAATAGACGAGGATCCTTTTCTTCTAGCTAAATACTGTATGTAGAACCCCTTGGCCAAAGATAGTTGTGTCACCACCTAAGATGGCGACTGGTTAGACAGGCGGTTGGCAGCATCAAGGCGCCCACCGAGAATCGCGGCTCAAAGTAAAGCCACTTCCTCCCCCCCACCTTCCCCTGGGACCGGTGCCTAGCACACTGGTGAATCCTCCAACCTGGTCATTCGATTCCATCAACTAAGGCGCAGCCTGATAACAGGGATTGATTCAGGCTTCTCTATTCTGTTCAGGCTTACGTGTTTCGGAATTTGCTCTTTGAGGTCCATCTACGGACTACTAAGCACTGCCCATCAACATCATGTCTATCCCGAATGAGGCTCTTCACAAGGTATAAGCGTGCACCAAGCTGCATCATCTCGCTTTTGGCTTGAGCAGCGACAGTGTTGATTAACATTTTCCAGCTTGCTCGCGAAATCGAGACCCAGGCAGTGGCTGCACAACAACAAATTGGCCTGGCACGTACTCAAATGGCTGCAAAGCAGCGCGAGCAACGCTTGGTTAGCCTAACCCTTGGCGAACTGGCGAGCCTTCCAGAGGAGGCGGTAGTTTACGAAGGCGTCGGCAAGATGTGAGCTCAAGCATTTCGATATACATACACTGCTCACTAACAAGAACCCTAATCCTTTTTCAGGTTCGCGTCACTTCCCCTACCAGTTTTACGACAGAAGCTGGAGGGTCAAACGAAGGATTTGGATTCTGATGTGGAAAAGCTTAACCAGCGTCTTCTATATCTTGAAACCACGCACAAAAACAGCCGCGAGCACATTGAACAGATGCTCCGCGGTCGCTGAAGCTATGATTCTTAACAGCTTCCTTGCGTGGCCAAGCTTGCGGCTCATCAAACTCTCAACCAGAGCGGTGACCTTACGTCAGCCGGAACTTGCTTACCCGCGACCGTACACGCGCCACATCATTTGTTGTTGTCTTTGCCGCTTAACAAGAAGCGCAGGCCTGTTGCTACTTGAGCACTTGGGTATCGTATCTACCTAGGTACCTAGATGGGTAAGGAGATTCTCCTCCTGATTACCTACCTAGGTAGGTATCGGGATGCCTGTTAGAGAGCCTTTGAGGGGTGGGCAGACAAGGTTCTTATGTACCTAGGTAGTGAGTGAGCGGTTGCCATGGGTCTTACCTTCCCGCTCGTGTGAATTGGACTACGTAGTTTTAATTTACAATGACGGCCCGTACAATGCCCCCCGTACTGAGGAGAGCCATTCAAGAATCTGCTTGCGTGTTGTCAAAGCTCCTTGGCCCTAGTACTATGCAGATTTAGCAACCTCGAGCCAGCCAATCATTCCGCGCCTTAAGCCGCCGGAGCTGAGCTGAGAAAGACAATCAACCCCCACCGTAGGTACGGAGTAGTAGTCCATGGTTGCGCTCGCCGCCGGCGCCCTCTCCCCCCCCCCCCCCCCCCCCCCCCCCCCCCCCCCCCCCCC